AGGAAATCAAGTAGATCATTTCTAGAAAAAACCCGAACTCAATATTCAAATTCTATCGAGAGAAAAAGAGCTGCGAAAAAATCCGCAATAATTATGCATCAACCTAATAGTTAGAGTGCCAGCACAACGTGCTCTAGACATCTCAGAACGGCGAAAAAGAAAGTTTTGGATAAGAATTTGATTTTTGATCCCAGTGGCGAATTCCTGAGCGTGCCATACATTGATAAAATCTCTGTTGGTACCCATATAGAACACTACTTTCATTATTCAGATGCCAGTTTGGCCTGGCAACTTCCGCGTCAGCTAGCTTTTTCACTAACTTCTTATTTTACTTTTCAAGCTAAGATATAATGATATTCTAACATTTGCTGCTTACGCCATTCCCAGGCTATCTTTCCCAGTTTATCTTAAACCAAACTAGAGCTTGCAACTCATTACATGATAGCTTCCAATCTTAATGCCCAGACAGACGCCCAGGTCCTTGGGCTGTCTGTCCACAATTCTCATCGAGTGACACCACACCCATCGGAAGCACGTCCCTCCCAAGAATTGGTTGTAAGGGTTAGTTAGGAAGTAAGGTAGAACAGGGTGAAGTTTTGGAAACTATAAGTTTACGCTTATGATATAAGATAATTGTTTATACGACACGATACGTCCGTTACATTGCATCAGAGGTTTTTCGAAATGAGCCTTGTAGGTCTCCTTGCATCAGGCTCGAAGTGTTATGGGAGTGTAAATCTTTCTACTGGGACTATTAGGCCTATTTGAGTTGCATCGATCAACTGGAGGGTTGGAATAAGTAGAACAAGAGGAGCTTTTCTCTGATGAAAGTAGCCCGACATAATTTTAGAATTTTTTGAAATCGCTTAACGAAATATCCAATGCCAATGGAACCTTGCCCCATGAAGTGGGGGTAATGTTTGCTGTGCAAGTATTATGTGTCAATTCTTTCCCTTTTTTCAAATGGTAAAAGAAATTTCTTGGAAATGAGTGATTGTTTCAGTGGAAGTGCCCGAGAAGTCATTGAAGCCTGTCACATCAGCGATGGATAAATATCTTCGACGAGATTCACTGTCAACAAAGCTTGCTGATGCCATCGAGAAAAAGAAATCACCCACGCCCAGTGGCGAAAACATTTCCAACGAGACTCCATCAAGGAGTGTGAGCCCCAATGTAGCCCCTACCCAGTCTGCGACAAAAGAAAAGACCCCGTCAGAAGTCATTAAGAAGCCGGACACAATGGTCAAGGAGGCATCTCCGGCTGCACCAACGCTTAAAGCAGAAGCAACCAAAGAGCAACAGGCTGCTCAAAGTAAGAGTCCTACGCCAGCCGCTGCCAAAAGCAGTTCAAGCTCCGACAAGGCGAAGGTTTCCACCACACCCACGACTCCGACAGTCAAAAAGGACGAGCCGAGGAGCACCCAGCAGCCTGTCGTCAACGGTGTCTCTTTAAAGAACGATGGGTCTCGGCCAAGTAGCCGAGCCAGTCAAATTTCATCCAGATCCCGCTCCTCGAGTCCTGTCGCCAAAAGTGCCCCGAAACCGGAGGAGCCCAAGAAAGCTATGCCGATTCTCTTTACCGTATCTGTTGAAAATCAATCCGACAAGGAAGGAGCCAAGGAGGAGCCGACAGTGGACGTCACCATACCTCTGAATGGTCTGAAGGTGAGTCGCATCGTCTCTACACTGATAACAATGCAAGTAGCATTCACTGCAAGTCAGTTAGGATGATCAGTGATGAGAAACACATCCAATACTCTACCGACAGTTCGTAGTAATACTTTTTTCTCTAAGTTTCTGATATTTTTGAAGTCCCTCCACTTAGCTTTGGGGAGGTGGATGAACAACTGGGCAACTTCTTTGACGAAAACATTTGGTGTCCCCCACCTGACTCTAGGGTCAAATTTTGTGTAAATATCAATATTCAGTGCATTTAGTTTTTCTCACCGTCAAATATTCCATATGAGTACTGGGAGGGTGAAAACAAAATATACAATGGTTGCACGAAAATAACCTACAAAATGGATCCTTCAGGAGGTGTGTCGTTAGGTTAGGGAGCGAATATTTCGCGCGCGGCAAAACGAGTCACCAAATACGCGCCCAAATTGGATTTCGGCCTGCAGTACCGTACATTCACGCCCCTTGTGCTACTATACCTTAAGCAGCCATACTGGTTGCTGATGCCCAATCCTGAAAATCAGCAATGACCCAGGTTTCACCCTGATTTTAGCGACGTTTTGTTACATTACGCAATTACAACAAATTTGGCCCTTTTATTCAAGCAAGCTATACCTGTGGGAACAACTCTGAAATGGTTTTTAGTAATACATAGCTTTGAGAATCTCTGTGTCTGAGGAGAACTAACTGTAAGGGATTTCCGGTAAAATGAAAGAAAGTCGAGGGAGCACCTTCATCCTATCTCAGCTTCCAAAAAGGTCTATAAAAGATTTCATCATCCCGGATTCCAATTCCGAAAAATGAACTCCGCTGCGACATTCATCATGTCTTTATGGAGGCAAATGAGAGTTCGTGGATGGTCAGGTTGAGTAAAATATTTACAAACCAGTTTCAGAGTTAAGAGGTAACTCAGGAAATAGCTGAATCATTTGTTGGGAGATCCTAAAAAAGCACACCACTGACGTTATGACGGCCCACAATGGATATCCGATAAAATGTACTTGAACTTTGGGGGTAAGACCAGCCGCCGACCAGAAAAGTTTTTTAAGAGTAGAGAGGTTCGCTTCGTCGACAGGGGCTTGGACTTGCTCACTATTTTGAGGACAAGGCAATATTGAGGATGTAGATTTCAAAAAAACAACAGTGGGGTTTCCAAAAAGCTATTTCCCAAGAGAATTTCCGGCAGCAAGCAAAGCATGTACCTGCGGCTAACAGGTGAAGAGGGTGTCGTTGAGAGTTTTTGAAGGTCGCGACAGCTAAAAATGAAAGTTTGCTCACAATCAAGCAGAAAGCAGTTTCTAGCGCGATTCTACGAATTTCCATGATTCTTAGACGTGAATTCATTTCCCTTTTAGCTTAGCTGTAGCCAACATAAACTTATTTTATCGAGAAAGTGATTTTTTTAGTTGCTCCCTACGAGCCCCATAGGATCTTTGCCAAGTGGCTCGCTACTTTCTGTATTTCTCTATTATTACCCATTATTTATATTGCTATTTGTGTATGACACTATCTTCCAATCTCCTTTTGAAAAAAAAATAACTGAAACAAACAAGCGGAAACTGTCAAGATGAATATTCACGTTCAGTTTTTTATACATTAGTATATTTATCATTAGTATATTTATCAGATATTGAAGTTTAATATTCCATTTAGATACTATATTTTTAGGGTTGTAATATAATTGAATACATCTTTCTTAGAAGTAATAATATCTTAATTAAAGAGAAAACTCAGCCGGGGTTCAACTTCTTACAGTAATCCTGCAGTCGCTGAATACTACCACTACTTCCGAAATATCTTAAAGGCACAGTTTACGATAAAAAGAGGATTCTGAGGTTCCCCTATAGTGTAAATTCGAGGCTCCCCCTCACACCATACCTGCCGTTATAAGATCGAAAAACGTTATGGATAGGGCACAATAAGGGGCCAGAGATTGTATCGTGTGAATGCAACATCCATGGTGGACGACTTCCAACGGCTTTGCAGAGGCTGCACTATATCAAGTTCGTGTAGGAAGTTCAAACAACTCGTCATAACCCATGGCTACAGTGAAAGGCAGTTTCAGACAACTTCGGTTTGATGTAGTCATCTCTTTACACAATGGAAGCCAGTTAGATCTCGTCCAAACATCCCTTACATGCCATTACCGTCACGGTAGTCTCGTACAACCTCCACTTCCATTAATTTTAAAAACCCTTGAAGTAGGTGGATTTTCTCGCTTTCTTCGCTACCGATTTACTACTCTACTTCAACTCTTTCGCTTTCCAAACAAGAGATGTACTTCAGAATTAACGTGAACTGTGCCTTTAAAACGGTAGGTATCAGTTGTGAAGTATTAGAATATAGCACGTGGGATCACGGTATGAATTTGATTCACTGCTGAATTATTTCCGTTCTTCGTCCTGCCCCCGTGCCACCAAGCACGCATTTTTCACTTGGCTGGCGAGTGTATGAGTGACTCTTTACACTTTGAGTTCTAAAAAAACTCACAGTATAATAACTTTGTGTTTTTCGACGTCATTTCACTATTTTATAGCCCATTATGTACTGTTTATTTTCTGCCAGTGGATAATTGAATGAGATGCAAATATTGTGTAAACAGATCCCTCAGGGTTGGAAAAGGAGGGGAAACTTTATCATTTCTCCGAGAACCGAAATCAACATGGTAAATGAGCGATGTTAAGGTCTCGCTATTAAAATGAGGTGTTAGACTTAACGAAAAATCAATGAAAACATAAAAAGTGTACGAAAATGCAGAGATAAAAAATAAAAAAAAACTCGGAATAAAATTCACTGTTGGCAAAACAAGTTGCAAGATTCGGAAAAAAGCAAATGATTGCAATATTCAGAGAAATCGCAGCCGATCGGCAAGCCCTGGCCGAAGGTCACATCATCGCCACGTGAAGGAAGACAACTCGCAGTTGCTCAGCGTCAGCTCGACAGGGCACCACGGTAAGCGTTCTGAGCAGGTTCCCCAAATATTGAGACTACTTCTTACCCAATAGGGATTGGTAGATGTCCGGGATGTGGCGGAGCTGATGATGAACTGAATTCCTTTTGTTTTTGTCACTTGAGAAGATGTGTTTTCGTGCCCTAGCCAGAGTGCAAAAGCGGCTGAAAAACACGATGGAAGGTCCCGTCACAGCCATGTGGCAGTCATTTGAAACCTTTTGTTCTATGTTGCTTTCCTGTGGACTCTTTTCCAGACCTCTCCACTTAATTCTGAGCTTCCAGGCTCCCGAATGCGACGCTCGGCAAGTCCAAGCGACAACGCCAGTTCTACCGGCGATGAGGAAGCCAGAAAAGGTGAGTCGTGCAGAATTACATGGAATAGATGGAGGGAAATAAAAGCTTCCAGGTCGTCGGAAGCGTCGTGATCCCACGCGGACTCTGGAGAACTTGAAAGAGACACTGGCCAGTGAAAAGCATCCAGGAGCTGAACAAAACGGAACCAAAACGGAAACAACTGGATCAACAGGTTCCACAGGCAGCGAAGATAGCGGGCCGGTGTCCGAAGTCAGTTCCCAGCTTGTTCCAGGATTAATCACAGAACATAGTCGATGACCAATTTTTAGATGGCGAATCGTCCAAAACCTCCACTGGTTCTTGTTACCGAACCCGAAAATGAGACAAATACTAGCGAGTGCCCGGAACTATGGGAGGATTCCACTGATGGCGAGTGGACGGAGGCCGAGGACGAGGCCGACTGTAAGTTACCTTCGAAGAAAAATCAAAGTCCTTTGACAAACTGTCGTAGAAATGGTATGCTAAGGGATTTTTTGATAATTTTTGAGCTGCCGTCATTGCCAGCTCGAAAATTCTACGTTCCTTTATAAGGTCTTCGACTAGAATAGCTGGCGCAGAGCAGAAAATCGAAAAAGAAGAAAACGAGTAAATCTGCAGGAATTCCATGTTCTAGGACTCCTTCTAAAGTTATTAGTTCGGAAAGTTGGACGAGATTATGACGACGGACGGACGAGAAAGCAATGTTCGGACGGGATTTCGATCGCAGCAGAAAAAGGCTTTGCTACTGCTGCAAACATGCTCCGCTTTGAATGAGGCAACTCCTAGCCAACCTTTATCAAGCCGTTAAACACGTCCCTTAAGAGAGTAATAAACTTCATGTAGACAACTTTGTGACAAATACCGCCTCGTATAACCCTTGCAGAGGCCATTTATTCTTACCAGAAAAAGCTCTCCAAGACGTTCCTGTCGCAAACTGTGATTATGATTGATTGGTGTAGCGGCCGCGCCGCAGCTGCCCGCCTTGAAGAGTCCCACTCCTTGCTTGTCATTCCATATGGAATGAACCAAATGTGTTAGGTTTTCCATACATAAAAAAACATTTCAGATGAATCTGATGAATATTCGATTTCGCAGACGTTCAGTCTTAAAGACTGTATGCCTATAGGTGAGCAAAGAAACCGTGTGGTCACTTACTGAACTGCCTGTGTGAAGTGACTTTTCGTGTGCAGTTGTTTCCTTATTTATGTGTGTGTGTCGTTGAATTGTACATCATTTTGGTTGCATTACGATGGCCGCTTTATGGTGGATTCTATTCGGTCCAATCCCTTCTGTGACCAGTTCCTTCTAGGCGATCTCTATCCTCTTTCCCGTTCTTCTTCACGATGTTCGGCATTCGTTTCCGATTATGACAGTGACTCCAGCATGCCACTGTTCATGCTTCCGTCGAGGTGTGGCACGAGTGCTGCAGGCGAAAAGTCTCGTACTTGTTCCTTTTTTATTTTTTTTTTNTTTTTTTTTGTTTCTATGGATTCGCGTTTTTCATGTTGAAGTTGTAGAATGGAGGAGTCCCGTGGCCGTGTCGATCGGCTTTTCGCAGTGCCACCTCCGTCATTCACCTGCTCGATTACATACGATGGTCAAGAGAGTTGGGACGATGAAAGCCTCCATTCGTGCACCGATTTTGATGACGAATATTGCGGTAAACATTGGCTCTTTTGGTGGTCCGCAATGAAAAAGATTTGCTTGGGGAAGTGATTGACTTCCAGGAAGGCTGTCCCGTTACAGTCGAGCAGAATCATCAGCTTTGGGAGCGTATCTCAGTCCAAGCAGCTACACATCAGATGAGGTTTGACCTTGGCTTTGTTTATTTCCTGTTTTGCTAAACTCTGCTATCCTTCAAAAGATGAAATTGAACATCATTGAAATGCTCCTTAAAGAGATCCCTTTCCTCATTAATTATTACCGATCCGAGGTGAGTTACGAGTAGGAAGAATAGCCGAGTAATTGGGAATAGGACCTTATTGAGCTAGGTAATGAGTCCCGTCATTTACTCTGGCTATTAAACGGCCCGCTTGACAGTTGTGGTAAACCCTTGAAGCAAATAAAGGGCCATGTCAGGGCACAGTTAACATTTTAGTACTTTTAGGTGATTTTTGTATGAATTAGCTTACTGTATAGGAACCTGTGCTCGACGTTTTACGAAATCAAACCCTAGTTAGTAATGACGATACAGCGCTTCTTGCCACTGCACTGACC